CCCCCCCCCCCCCCCCCCCGGCCCCCGCCGCTCCCCGCCCAGCGCGGAAGGAGTTAAGCGGCGGGGCCGCCTCGCGCCCGGCCCCCGGTGCCGGCGGAGTGATTCACTTCCTGCCTCGCGCCCGCGCGGCCCCGAGGCCCCGCCCCACAAGGGCTCGCCCCGCCCCCGCGCAGCTTCCATTGGTCGCCTCGGCCGGCGGCGCGCTCCCATTGGCCGGCGTGGGTGCCAGTCGTGGCGCGGCCGCCGCCGGGCCGCCGTGCCGGTGGATGTCAAAGGCTGGCGCGGCGGCGGCGGCACAGTATAACTCGTGGGGCTGCCGCGGCCATGGCCACAGCCGCCTCCAACCCCTACGGCCTGCTGGGCGCCGGCGCGCTCGCCCACGCCGAGGGCGCGGGCATGCAGCAGGGCAGCCCGTTCCGCAGCCCGCAGAAGCTGCTGCAGAGCGAGTACCTGCAGGGCGTCCCCGGCAATGGGCACCCGCTGGGGCATCACTGGGTGACCAGCCTGAGCGACGGCGCGCCCTGGCCCGCGGCGCTGGCGGGCGGCCCGCTGGAGCAGCCCGACGTGAAGCCGGGCCGCGAGGACCTGCAGCTGGGCGCCATCATCCACCACCGCTCGCCCCACGTCTCCCACCACTCGCCCCACGCCAACCACCCCAGCGCCTGGGGCGCCAGCCCGGCTCACAGCGCCTCGCTGGCCGCCCCCCCCGCCGCCGCCGCCGCCGCCGCCGCCGGGCAGCCCCTGAGCGTGTACTCGCAGGGCGGGTTCGCGGTGGGCGGCATGCTGGAGCACGGCGGGCTCACCCCGCCGCCCGCCGCCGCCGCCGGCCAGGGCTTGCACCCGGGGCTGCGCGGCGAGGCCGGCGGCGAGCACGGCGAGCTGGGCGGCCACCACTGCCAGGACCACTCGGACGAGGAGACGCCGACCTCGGACGAGCTGGAGCAGTTCGCCAAGCAGTTCAAGCAGCGCCGCATCAAGCTGGGCTTCACCCAGGCCGACGTGGGGCTGGCGCTGGGCACCCTCTACGGCAACGTCTTCTCGCAGACCACCATCTGCCGCTTCGAGGCCCTGCAGCTCAGCTTCAAGAACATGTGCAAGCTGAAGCCGCTGCTGAACAAGTGGCTGGAGGAGGCCGACTCCTCCACCGGCAGCCCCACGAGCATCGACAAGATCGCGGCGCAGGGGAGGAAGAGGAAGAAGCGGACCTCCATCGAGGTGAGTGTCAAGGGCGTGCTGGAGACGCACTTCCTCAAGTGCCCCAAGCCGGCCGCCCAGGAGATCTCCTCGCTGGCGGACAGCCTGCAGCTGGAGAAGGAGGTGGTGCGGGTCTGGTTCTGCAACCGGCGGCAGAAGGAGAAGCGGATGACCCCGCCGGGCGAGCAGCCTCAGCACGACGTGTACTCGCACGGCGTGAAAACGGACACGGCCTGCCACGACCTCTGACCGCGGGCTCCGGCCACGGGACTGTCCGGCCGCGGGACTGCCCGCCGGGCTTTAACTTATGGTTTCGGGAGACGCGGCGAGGGGTCCCCGCCCGCCGCCGCCTCGGCAATATTATTATTTCTTTTTTTTTTTTTTCCTCTCTCCGCTGATCACACACGGTGTTTACTCGCAGACAAGGTTTGTTTTCGGTCTCCGCTAAAACGAAGGAAAAAAAAAAAAAAACGAAAAAAGAAAGACGCAAAAAATATATAAAAAAACAAAACCAACCCCATCGCAAAACAAAATCTAAACAAAAAGGAAGAAAAAAGAAAAAAAACCAGGAAAAAAAAAAAAAGGGAAAACCCACGGAAAAATAGAAAATTTAAAAAAAAAAAAAGAACGGAAAACCCGACAGAAAAGGAAAAAAGGAAAGACAGATGTGTGCCTATGAATAACCTTCCAGCGCCTTGGTTATATCAGCTGTATTTCAGGTGAATCTGTTTTACAATAGACTAGTTTTGCATTTTTAAAGACTTATATAGCGTTTTTAAATGTCTGAGGTGTTTTACTACAAACTGTACACAATATTTGTGACCTAATTTGTATCGAATTGAGCAGTCCAAACGTTCCTCCCTTCCCCGAGCACCGGCAATGTCACCCAGCGGGGCCGGGGCAGGGCGGCCGCGGCCCTTCCTCACCCCCCCCGAGGAGATGGGGCTCCCTCCGCGCCCGCGGAGCCCCGCACCGATGTGAAGAACAGGCTTTATTTGTTGCAGCTTTTTTTTTCTTCCTTTTCAAGAACTTCCCAACACCGTAAAACGGTCGGGTCGCAAGCCTGACCTCCCCCCGCTTTCTTCTCCCAAGGGAAAAAAAAATAATTTATATATATATATATAAAATAATTATTTCTAAGAGATTTACCCGAAATTAAGCATCACAGCCAAACCCGTGGCATTTGCCAGTCTTTTTCTTTCCGAAGATGAGTTGGGCTTTTTGATCAGCGCCAGACTGAGAGGTCTGTAGTAAAACACCTTTATCCTTCTGCGCTTTCGCTTCGGAAATCGGTTTCTCTGTATTTTGTTTCGATAGTGAAGAGGAATGAGGTGTCGGGGGGAGGGAGGGATGGGGACAGAAAACGCCCGCATTTGGTTCACGCTGAGCTTCTTTCCGCGTCGCAGGGAGATGCTGGATTTGTGGAAAAGCTTTTCTAGGGGGAGGGGGAAGAAAAAAAAACCAAATAATCATAATAATCACCGACAAAACAAAACAGGGAGAAAAAAAAACAACCCAACAAACCAAACAAAAACCCCTCAACCACCAAAACAAAGTGGCTAAAATGCTCACGCCAGGAGCCGTTTTTCGGGCGCAGGGAAGTGCCGAGCTGCACCCGCCCCCTCTCCCCCTGTCCCTCCCAGCCCGTGGCTGCGTTGTCCCCAAGGGCGGGGGGTCCGCGTGTGTCTGTCTGTCTGTCCGTGTGTGCGCGCACCCCCCGAGCCCCGCGCTGCTCCCGCACCCCCGGGGCCGCCGGGCAGGGCCGGGCTCCCCCCCCCCGCTCCCGGGGCTGCACCCGCGGCCCCCCGAGGGCCGGGCCGGTCCCCGCTCCGCAGCTCCCGCACAGCATCCCCCTCCTCCTTTCCTCTCCCCCTTCCCCTCCTCCAGATTTTTTCCTTTCGACATTTATATTTTTCAAGTATTTTTCAGTAAGCGCTTAAAAAAAGAAAAAAAAAAAAAAAGGGAAAAAAAGAGGAAAAAAAAAAAAGAAATTAAGAGAAAAAGAAAAAAAAAATAACTCGACACTGAGGACCTGCCTATTTCTGCCAACTTTATAACTGTACAGTTTTGTATATTAAACGTTTTTTGGAAGTTATTAATTTAAAGAAAGATCATTTAGTTTATTCATTTAGTAACTGATGTATAATAAACGCTATTTTCATTAAAGGTTGCTTTTTTCAACTATTTTATCCAAAATTGCCTATTGCAGTTGCCAACAATTATTTATTTTCAATAAATTCCGCATTATGTTTAAAAAAAAGAAAAAAAAAAGAAAAAAAAACGTTTCAGAAAGAAACAAGAACAAAATAAAAAAAGTCTAAATGGGTGTCGGATAAAAATAATAACGAAACACACGAATGGCTGTAACGTTTGGTTGTCGAGCAGTTTTAGTCAAGGGGTTTATATTGACGCAATATTTTATTGTTGTAAAAGGAAAACAAAAAAATTAAAAAAAAAAAAAGAAAAGAAAAAATATTTAAATAAACATTTTTACGAAAGAAAAACAAAATAGCCAGAAAAGTGCGGGTGCGTGGTTTGTGCGCTGGCCGAGCCGGGCTGCGGGGGCTCCTCCGGGCCCCCAGCCCCGGGCACGGCCGGGGGGGCTCGAGGGGCCGATCCCGGCAGTGCCGCCGGCACCTGCCGCAGCCTTTGGGGTGGAAAAAGCTCTTTTGGGGTGGAAAAAAAGGATCTATGCGGTTTTTTCGGAGCCGGGCAGCGTGTGTCCGGAGCGGCGTTGTGTGTGTGTGTGTGTGTGTGTATCAATATTTGTGCGCGTCCCGGCGCTGCCCCCGCCGGCCCGGCCGGGGGTCCCGGCCCCGGGCAGCGGCGGCGAGCGGGGCACCGGGCGAGTTCCTTTTGTTCCGCCCGTCCCCCCGCCCACCGTGGCCGGGCCGCGGCCGCCGGGAGCGGAGGGGCCGCGAAGCCGAGCCCCGTCCCCGCCCCGGGCCGCTCCCCCCGGCGGGGAGGGCAGCGTGCGGGAGGAACAATAACACTTAATCACATCCAGCGCCGTCAAAGCGGGGAGCTCCGGCCCCGGCGGCCGGGTGGGTGCTGGGGGAGGCAGGGAAACGGCAGAAAACTTCGAGGGATCGCCAGCGAATCTACCCTTTTATTATTTTTATTTTTTATTTTTTATTTTTTTCTTCTCCCCCTTTCTGAAGCCGAACCTCGGAGAAAACAATACCCAACCCTTCTGCCAGCAGTGTAGGGGGGAAAAAAATTTACCTTTAGGAATCCTGAGAAGCGGCCCGAGCAGGGAGAGAGCTCTCGTCTTCAATGAGCAGCAGCAGCACGCGAGTGGACAGGCGCCTTCCCACCGCACTGCCAGCACACCAACCCTCCTGCACCTGGGAGCGAGAGGGATTTGGGATGCGAACAGTGGGCGATGCATTGTTTCTGAACCATAAAACTGATTTATTTCATTGGTAAATCTCTCTGAGCTGCAGCAGCGCGGCCTTGGGGGCAGCGGGCCTGCGGCCGCCCCTGCGCTGGGCAGCGGGACCACCACCTCCAGCTCTCTCCAGAAGGATTACAGCAGCGGCAGAAAGGAAATATAAGCCCCCAAAACCCGTTTTTTCAGTCAGCTCCAAGAACAGGATGAATGTGGCGTGGGGACCAAAGCAGGAGTGAACAGCCGTGGTTTGTAAACAGCCCCAGCTGAGGACACCAGGAAAAGCTCCAGGTTCAGAGCAGCCCTGCGGGCTCACGGTGCCTCCCAACATGCAGGGCCCAGGGAGGCAAAGCTCCTAAAGGCAGCCTTGCTTTGGAGGAGGGACAGAAGGCGTTTCACTGAAATTAGCCCGTTTTAGAGCCCTTTGGCTGCTCTGTAAATACAACCACAGCGAGGGCTGGGTTATGTCTTATTTTAAAACAAATTAGGTTGAGACAAAAGAGATGCAATGAAAGACGAAATCAAATAAGTTTATAAACAGAAGCACTTCAAAGGCTGCTGGAAAGCTGGAGAAATAGGAGGATTTCGTTTAAAGAAAGGAAAATCTCCGCTGGTTGTTGCCCATCGATTTCAGTGTTCCTGCTAGCAAAAGGAAACTCTTTTGTGCCACCTAATGTTAAGTACAGATCACTGTTGTCTTCTTCGCTGCCCATCATCACGGTGAGCGTGGGGAGGCCTCGGGGTGCTGAGCCCATCAGGGTGGAGCTCAGCATCCCAAAGTCCCAGCAAACCAAGGGCAGGGAAGAGAGAAACTTCAGCTTCACAGTTACCTTCTGAATTTAGGGATTTTTTTTTTTAAAAAAAGAACTCGGGAGGGGGTGGAGAGAAGCACGGGGTAGGATCATAAGAATGAGAGACTCCAAATTTGGGCTTTGTTATAAAAAAGTAGCTGCAGAACGAGCACATCCAGGGTTTATATAAGCTGCCCACCCCCAAGCTCCATCTCAGCAGCCTCTGGGCTTGGGGGAGCTTCTCCCTCCGCTCTCCTCAAGAACCCAAGTGGCCTGGCCTTTGCACACCCGTGTCTCCCAGCTGGAAGAATTTTGGTGTGTACTTTGCAGCCATTCACATTAATTTAGTATGTAAATATCTCACACAATCCTTTAAAGAAAGGGCTGAAAGCAAGTGTTTCTCTGATGACAATAAATTGCACTGGTTTTGTGATTTTCATGGTGAGCGTTAAACATCTTCAGCAATTTTTGAGGCTGAATGTTCCAAGCTTTTCATATTATAATAAAAAAAAAAAAAAAAAGAAAGAAAATGGAAAAAGAACCAGTGGCTTCCTTTGGGTTAAGTTTTAAATATTTGTAAGGTGTGCTCTTTAAAGATGGCCAGGACATGGGAGAGGGTTCTCTTGAAAGCAAAAAATTACTAGAAGTAAGCAGAGATGCCATTTCACTTTAGGCTGGTCATTATAGAGCATTCAAAATATGAACTAGTCAATCCATACCTTTGATTTGAGGCTACATTTGACCAAGATGTTTTTAAAATCTCTCAAAATCAAGTATTTCAAGTTTTTCTTTCTTTTTTTTTAGGTATTGATCCCCTAGGTTCAGGAAGAACAGATGAGAGCAGCCTGGTCTTCTTGGGCTGCATCCATATACCAAAACCACCACCGATTTTAGGGCCACATGTGCATGGAGGCACATTTAAAACCTCAGTCCTTCCCCCAGGAGCTCGTGGGGCTGAGGGTGGATGCCCTGATCCCCAAACCCAGACAAAATTCATTGTTTACTCACCAGAGCAGCTTCTCTGTAATCAGTGAGCTCACCATGCAAATGGAGTTATTAATTAATCT